CCCCCCCCGGAGGTGACCACATGGCACGACAGACCTCTTCTGACTCGCCCGCTGCTCCCCTCAGCAGTACACTTTATCATTCTGCCTGTTCTGTTCCCCGCTCTGTCTCTGGTGAATCCTCTCAGCGCCCCTGCACCTCTGGCCTGTACCCCAGTTCTGTATGCTTAAATAAATAAATCTTTAAAAACAAAAAGCCTAGCACTAGGATGTCAGCTGAGAGCGGGGGGCCCTGAGGACTCAGAACTACTGTATCGGCCCCCTCCCTTCAGTGAAGATCATGAGCGCCTTGGCCAGGCTTCCTGTGAGTGGTGGCAGTGTATGCGGGTATGTTGGGGAGTTGATTCCCCTGGTAAGGTGCTGGTAAGGTCTACCTCCACGCCTTTGAGGGTAGACCAGACCAGGGGCATCTAAGGCAAGCTGAAGCTGGTCTTCCCTGGACCCCTGCCCGTGGCCATTCTGTGCTGCGGGTGCAGGAGGCCTTGGGGACAGGTTGGTGTTTCCCACCCAGTGTTGTGAGCTACAGAACACATGGGGGCGACACTTCCTCCCACATCATATGCATCTTTAGTTTTCCTTCCTCACTCCACCAGCTCTCTCCCTGTTGCTCCTTTTTGTTCTTTGTTTTTCCTTTTCAGTCTCCATCTCTACTTCCCTTTCTGGGCTTTAACCCTCCTAGGGTGTCCCACAGGCTAGAGCCACTTGGGATAAGCTGCTGCCTGTGAAAGCTGCCATTATTTGTTCTGGTGACTGTGTTAGCAACTCAATCCTGTCTGCTCCTCCAGCCCATCTGGGATGTAGGGAGACGAGTGTGTTGTCTTTAACAGCTAGCTGCTTTTGTCCTCCTCACATGCAGATAGTGTCTCTGATAATATCTTCGTAATGGGCCTGTGATGCATCCTTAGCTTTGTATGGTTCTTTCCTATTTCAAAGAAGAGTCCAGCTTTTGTTCCATTTGTTTCTCAAACGCTTGAAGTAGACAGGGCGAGTATTTGTGATTAGGCATTTGATCAAGAAGAATAAAACTAAAGCACACACAGAGAAGCAGTTTGCTCAAGAGCATACAGCAAATGAGTAGCAGGCCGATCTGAATGTAGAGCCCTGGGCTCCAGCCCCTCCGCCGCAACGGTGCCTCTCGGTGGCATCAGGATAGGGTGCCTGGGTGTGGCTGTTGGGATGTAACTGCAGCTCAGAAAGCACCTGGACTTAGGGACCCCGTTGGACACTTTGTGCAGGATGGAGTGGATGTGGACAACTGTGGGGGGATACCCCAGTAGGGAGTGGTTTGCTTCCCAGCATGGGCGCATGGGCATTTTTGTTATCCTCTGGCCTCCGGCTTCTTGTGCCTTGCTGTTGGCTCTGCTCTATCTAGTCTCATGCCACATGAGGTATTGGAGGTACACTTCACCTCAGGAGCTCGGTTCATTCTTCTTCTTCTCTGGTAGTGTGGCTGGATGTGCCACACCCCCCCCAGAATAGTGGGTGAGGTTTGCTTCATGGAAGAGGTCGCAGCCTTGCGCAGCAAAGCCAGATGGGTCTAACAGTTGTGCACTGGATTGGATTTAGCCTCAAACCGTGCTGGCAGACAGGGTGACCTGGATGAGAGCTTTGGGGATCCTTCCAGGCTGGTGTTTTAGGCCCGTGTTTTCATCTGTGGAAGCATTTAGGACCATCTGCAGATTCTTTTCCAAAACAAGGATGCATGTTAGGAATGATGAAAGATTTTGGAAATACATAGTGGTGATGTTACATAACATTGTGGATGAATGCCATTGAATTATACACTTAAAAGTGGTTAAAATGGATGTTTTATCTTATATGAAAGTTTAAAAAGAGGATGTTACCTGATGAGAATTCTGTATCTCTTTGGGATAGATAGGGACAGTGGAGGGGTATCAGTCATTAGAAAAAGCTCTCCAGGGAACTGATAATACTTTCCCTAAATTAGGAACCTCAATTGTAGACAGTAATATCCTTTTTTCACTTCACCTTTGTTGGAGTCCTGCACTTGAATCATGGTTAACAATGGGCAGGGCCAGGACTTGAGCTGGTTCCAAAGCCTGTGCTCTCCCTTCCTACTCACGCCTCCCCACATCCAGGGGACTGGAATGTCTGCTTTCCTGAGTCACTGGAGCTGTGACCACAGGTCTGCTGCGGGTAATGCTGTTACTCCGCTCAGATGTGGGTCTCATTCAGATCCTCTTCCTGCCACACCGTGGAGACGGGCTGTGGTCTGGGTCCGGGAGACCTGGGGTTCCACGAGAGTTTCATGCTAATCCTGGCCAGAGAACAGACCCTAGTTGCCTTTCCCCTTCCTCATGGCTAGATCTCTTAGTTTCTGATTTTCTTTCTGGTCTTGAACACGCTCATGATGTGAAAAAATAACTGAGGGAAGTACTTGGAGGAAGTCCTGCCGAGAGGCTTGGCTAACCAGCTGACTTTGCTTAAAGCACCAAATACCAGATGAGTCTAAGTCAGCACTTGCCATGGGAGCTTCCAGAGATGGGTGTTTCAGCCTGAGGGACAAAACTAGAGTGTGAATTTTTTTAAAAAATTTATTTATGCATACAGAAATGAGGTACAGGCCAGAGGTGCAGGAGCGGTGAGAGGATTCACCAGAGACAGGGTGGGGAGCAGAACAGGCCGACTGACGAAGTCCACTGCTGAGGGGAGCGGCGGGCAGGTCAGGAGGGGTCTGCTGTGCCATGTGGTTCTATCCCCGGGTGGGGATAGAGGTTCTATCCCCGGGTGGGGATAGAACTCGCTTTGAAGCCTCTAGGAGCTTCACAGTGCTGTACTTGAACCCGTTGCGCCACCAGGGAGGGCCTAGAGTGAAAATTTTTATTGCGTATCTCACTGGGCCTCACTGTCAAGAGAAGGTGCCCTTGAACGCCTGCCAGACTGACCCTAGGACCTCAGGCCCAGACTGCCTCCTGGGGTGCAACTGAGGTCTGGTCCGCCCTGCCAGGCTCTGGCAGTTAGGCCTAAACCAACAGGCCCTTTCTTGGCCATGAACTGTCTACCTGCCTCTTGATCTGATGTCACCTACAGGAACCTGCCTCAACTTGTCCCCTGGTTTAGGCAACCTGCCTCTCTGCTGCCCCCACCTGTCTAGACTGGCAGCAGCTGCCTGGGTGTCTGCTGCTTGACAGGGATCCAGTTCTTGGAAGAGGACTTGTGGGATCACCTTCCCTCTAGCTTGCCTGGCCTGATATTTTTGATGAGGGAAGGAGATAGCAATGTCACGGACATGCAGTGTCATCTGCATCTCTCTTGATTTCTGACTTATGTGGCCTGGCTTGCTGCCTCCCTGACTCTTTCCTCTGTCACTTCTTGCTCCTCTTTTGAAGTCCTTTGCAATGACTATGCAACAAAACACAATTTAATATGTCAAATCTGTTGTCTTGTCCTTTGCCAGTGTCCCTTCTGTCTGTCTGACCCCCCTGAAGGGAGGGGTGTGTGAGACACAGGGTACAGAACCTGGCAGGGCTTCCTGCCCCCTCACTTGGAGGATCCTGGAACGGTGCTCTGAGAACACGGCCTGCAAGCAGGAAAGGAACTGTCAGCCATGTGCCCTCAGCCAAGACTAGGCCCAGAGTCACTCTGAGGAGGGAGTGCGTTGGGCAGAGCTGTTTGAAAACCACATGTTCCGACATCCTGCCCTTAGAGACCCATTCAGGAAATAGGGGTGGAATCTGAGAGTCCGTATTCCTTAAGTCCTTGGGGTTCTGATAGTTGCCCAGGCAGAAGATCATTGTGTTCTTTGCAGGCATGCGTGCAGACCCACCCATTCGTTTGTTCATTTACCAAGTATGTGTACACCACTCCTGCAGGCAGGGGGCTGCTGGTGCTCAGGTTCTGGAGTAGGAAAAAAAGGTGGACTCCTTGCTTGTGGACACAAGCGAACATAGACAAGTCCAGGCCATTGGGGTGCAGGTCTGTGGCAGCATTTATTAAGTATGAGCAGCTGTGGTGGTGTGTTCCAGAAGAGGCAGGTGTTCTGGACTTTTTTCTCCTTAGATCCTGAGCACTCTTGTTAAGGGAATACGTAGACCTGTGACCTGCAAGATTCGCATCCTGCCATCGGTAAGGCTGGTGTGCTGTGTCAGAACGCCCGTTCTCTCTGGGGGTGATGACTGGGGCTGTAAATGATTCTTGAGGCGCTGACTGAGGGGTGGGGGCGAGACTGCTCCCGGAGCCGGCGGCTGCTCCCTCTGCTGCGCCAGTAATCATGTGTGTGCTCCTCTCCCTCAGCTGGAAGATACCCTGAGCCTCGTGAAGCGGATCGAGAGGACTGGCATTGCTGCCATCACAGTTCATGGGAGGTGAGTAGCTGCCTTTCTTGTGACTGGCTGCAGGGGGGTCCATGCCCTATTAAGGGCCCTTTATCGGGACCCAGGTGATAGCCACCTTCTCTTCAACATATGCAGCCCACGTTGACCTAGCTCTTTGACACCTCTGGGTCCTGAGGGCAGTCAGCCCCGGGTGGACTTGCATGTTTCATGCACAGAGATTCAGAGGCACAGACCAAGAGGAAGGACGATCGCCCCTACCTCAGGGCGTGTGAATGGTTAGAGGTATATGATTTGCTCAAATATCATGCAGCCAGGAAGTGGCGGAATTAGAATTCTGACTCTGAAGCTCATTTTCTTTCTACTGCACAGAGCAGTAGCTTCTCTCTTGAAAGATCTAGGGCAGGTGGTTTTCCTTTTAAAGGCACTGCTTTCGTGTCTGCCCTTGTTGGATGGCAGCTGGCAGATGACTACTCTATAAACAGTCTGGCCCCCGATCCTTTCATTGAGGAGAGGAGTGGAGGGGACACCCAGGCAAGACTAGAAGGGCAGGGGCTTAAATAGTCTTTATATCTGTAATTAAGTTGCCCTCTGCCAAGAGCTGAGGTCTTGCTCAAGGCTTCTCTTGGCTTCCCAGTCAGACTTGCTCTCTTTTGATGTGCTTTTGTACAGACAACCAGGTCAGCTGACTTGGGCCAGGGTGCCCTGTCTTCTCTGAGCAATGTTCATGTTAGGTTCAGAGGTCTTGTGGGAATGACCCATTTTTTACTGGTTGTGTGTATTGTTTGAGTCAAAGCTCTCTGGCCAGCCTCCTCTGTTGTACCTGAAAGCAGTTCAGGTCAGGGCTCACCTCAGCATCTTGTAGACTCACTCATGGCCAAGACCTTCTTGCAGTTGACCTTGAAAGGAGGGTCACTAGGTTGTGGTTCTGTCTCCCTGTGGCTCGTCGTGACAGCCGTGATCTGTGCTCTGCCCTGGCCACTGGGCCTACCCTGTCCCAGGTTCCTCTCCCGAGGATCAGCTGCCCAATTTGGCCTCAGCATAGGCAGCTGTGTGGGAGTGGCCAGTCTGAGCAGTGACAGCTGTTCTCAGTCCCTTGGGGAGGGCAGGACCCAGACAGAGGGGACAGCATTCTTGGGGCACTGTCCCTCCTCTCTGGCAGAGATGACAGAAACGAGGGTATGAACTTGGGATCCACAACCCACATTGGCCCCTGCACCATGCCTCATGCTCAGGCTTCAGAGAGAGTTGAACTTGCCGTCTTAGCAGGGGCCTCTGTCGCGCCTGTCCTTCATGATGGAGGTCAGGAGAACCATCTCATGCAGCCTAGACACCTGTCCTTGATGACCACATGACCTACCTGAGGTCGAGCAGGGCAGACAGTAGGGCTGATGTAAGGTAACCCTGCACCTTGGACACAGCCTAGGGCACCCAGCCTCAGCCCACTTGTTTTCTCTCTCCAAGGAAGCGGGAGGAGCGACCTCAGCACCCTGTCAGCTGTGAGACCATCAGAGCCATTGCTGAAACCCTCTCTATTCCTGTCATAGCTAAGTAAGCCCATGTTCCTTTACTTTTTTTGTGCCAACACCTCACTCAGAAGGGATTCAAGCTGGCATACCAAAAAAAAAAAAAAAAAAAGGGAAAGATATTAGTGTGAGAAAAACAAAAACAAGCTACTTTAAAGGAAAAATAGGGTGAGATGAAAAATGAAATTTAGAATGAGTGTGAAACATGTCTATCGTGTCCCTTGGCCTCTGGGGAGTGGCTGATGTAGGTGTGTCATAGGCAGGGACCCAGATCATCATGAGCGATGAGACGAGTGTCCAGGATGTGGGTGAAATAAGAAGGTGGTGGCTGGAGCAGGCCCAGAGGCTGGTGATGGCCCACCAGAGTTAGGTGCGTTGGGGGTTGTGGTGAGGAGGCTTAGCCAGAGCATTTGGAGCTGTGGCTTAGGGGGCACAAGGCAGGTCACAGTCCAAAGCCTGGGCAAGCATTCTGGGCACCAGAGGACCAGCACCCAGCCTGGCACGCGTGAGATACCGATGACCAGCCCAAAGGCTCACTAGTAAGTGTCTGGTCACTGCTGGGGAGCTGGCCTGTGGAGCCCAGTTGGGAGTTTGGCTCAGTCCTGCACCTTGGGGTGGCAGTCTGATGGCAGGATGGGAGCAGGAAATCTGCTTTAAAGCCTGAAGCTCTGACAGAGACATGCCCACCTAGTGGTTGAAGGGAGGGAGGAAGCTAAGGGTGGAGGTCGGTGAGCCGGGTCTGACCTTTCCCAAGCCAAGGATTTTTGGGGGTGGCTGGGAGAGTGGTAGATGCTGTTGCTGCTGCTGCCACCTGAGGTTCCCCCCAGTCCTGATGGCTGTCTCTGGACTGAGGCAACTGCCTAGCTCCTGTTGAAGACTGAGCAGCTTCTGAGGGGGCCCTAGTGGCTGCAGGGTGGCAGGAAGGGAAATTTTGGCCAGACTGGGTTTCCTTCCTTCCTCTCATGATTACTGCTATGTCTGTTCCCTCTACAGGGTTTTTACTGAGCTATTAATGCCCCAGCCTGGGGCTTTTCCTGTGAGCCCGGTATCCATTCCAACTCCTGCCTTAAACTATGGGCCAGCTTTAACCACTGTTTAGGAGGAGGAGGAGGAGGGAGGGCCAGATCTCTGGACTACCTCATAAGCACCAGGCACAGTTCAGGCCCCTTTTTTATCCAGCTTGGTGCTTCTGACCCCATGTGGGGTGTGAGTTATAGTCCAGTCTCCTGAAGCTTTAACAGCTGAGGGACCTGGCCAGTGCCACACAGTTAATGAGTGGGGGGCTGCCTGTTTCTAAAAATGCTGGTACAGGGATGGGGACGCCCCTCACCTTCCTTTTGCTTTTAGTGGAGGATCTCATGACCACATCCAAGAGTACGTGGACATAGAGGACTTCCGACAAGCCACGGCAGCCTCTTCAGTCATGCTGGCCCGGGCGGCCATGTGGAACCCATCCATTTTCCTCAAGGAGGGTCTGCGGCCCCTGGAGGAGGTCATGCAAAAGTACATCAGATACGTACGTCTTGGCACCTTCTCAGAACGTTTCTACGTGACATTCCTGAGTTAGTGCTTTGGGAGAGCCCCCAGCTGCCAGCACAGCCCTGCTGCTACCCTCCTTTTCATTTGATCTTGCAATGCAGCTTTGGGCTCCCAGCTACAAGCTAAAGAGGGGGTACTAGGGAGGGTGCCCTACCATCACCTCCTAAAGCTTTCAAGGTGTATGGGTTATAGCAAAACCCTCTGGATCCAAGGTGCTATTAGAACCCCAGACACATGGCATCACCCCCCCAGTACACACATGTGTGGGAGACCATGGGGCCTGCGTCACTGAAGATCCCCAGGCCAGGGGCTTGGTGATGGAGCAGCTGGAGCGAGGAGGAGCCATTGTAGCTGTTACTGAGGACAGAGCTAGAGGATAGAGACATCTCACTTAGTCACCAGGCCTGATCACTTCTAAAATTCTTCTCTTTTGCTTCCCAGATTGCTTTGACCTGACTTAGGGAATTGCCTAACTTTACACCCTCTCCTCAGGGAATAGCATTTTCTTCTCACTGGGAGCTTGATGGTAGTGTCCTGTAAAGGAATGTTTTGATGAGTTCACTGTCTTGTCCCTATGGCACTACCCCAGACCCTGTGGGACTCTGATCAGCCATGCAGGTTTCCAGGCAGAGACAGTGAGTGGTCCTTGGATTCTTCAGGGAGCTAGCCTGAGCTGAGTGTAGAACTCTCCCAGGGCAGACTTTCACCCTCCTCTGTTGTCCAGGGGCTCCCCCCTGCCCGTGAAGGTCAGGAGCGTCTCAGATGCGCAGCCTGCCTTCCTTCTCTTTGAGCCATGGCCGGGCCTGGGCAGCTGTGGCTCCATGGTGTTCTGGTGTCCCCAGGGCTGTGCAAGGTGGGGACGGTAGGAGACCTGTTCCTCTCTGCTCAGTGCCGCAGTCCTTACCTTCTCCCCATGGTTCTGGGTGTCCTGTTGGGCAGGTTGGTGACCACCAGGCTCACCGATGGCCTGGGTCAGCCCTGAGGCATGGGGAGTTTGCTTCAGCCCAGTCCAACTGTCCAGCTCTGGGCTGCTGGCAAGACTGTGGCAGAGAAGACATGTTCAGTAGGACTGAGCTTGCTCACTGGGTGAAAGGTGATGTTGTCGTTTCTGCTTAGCCTATCCCTTGGCAACTCCTCAAGAGGGAGTGTTGTCACGGAGAGAGGGAGCAACTTTCAAGCTTAGGCAGGGTTGTTTCCGGTCCAGCCAGGTGCCGCTGTCTCAAGCAAGCTGAATCAAGGCTTTGCCTCCGGCTGGGGCTTACCCACCCATTCCTGCTATGCCCTGAGGGTGCCCTGGCACCATCCCTAGCACTGATGACAGGCCTAGGTGGAGCTATTAGCACAGTGTAGGGGCAAGGGGCAGGAGGGAGTGCTTGGCTCTTTCTCGCCCTGCCTCTAGACAGCAGCCTCCAACGGGTAGCCCAGGGTTGTCTCAGCTTGCCGCCCTGAGCTTCCACTTTCCAGTCTGCGGGGTAACAGCTGCACCCCATGCTTGTCTAGATAAGTGAAGAGACAAGTGACACGTGTGAACACGCTCATGGATGGTGCTGTGCTTTCCTGTTGTCGGGGAAATTTGGAGACAGGCTATTTAAGATGTGGGAGGGGCAGTTACCCGTCAGGATTTTCAGGAATAGAAGATCTATTCTGGGGCTGGATCTGCCACCCAGTATTTGGCTTGCACCCCCCCCCCCCCCCCCCCCCCCCCCCCCCCCCCCCCCCCCCCCCCCCCCCCGCAAACCCCCTGCCCTGGAGAATACTTGACTGCAGGTCCTCTGTGACTGCTTGTGCTTGAAGCTGCACATCAGCACCTCAGTCAGGCTTCCCATGGAGAGCGTTTTTGACTGTGGGCCCTGATGGTGACATTTGCTTATTATAAATTGTCTCCCTCAACCCTTTTCTTACTTCCCTCTCCGCCCCTCCCCATCCCCCCACTTCACTGGAGGAATAGGTAGCCAGAATGGAGGTGGGTCTTTCTTTCAGAGTCGCGTTGCCTTGGCTGCAGGCATACCTCTGATGCCCCCCTGGAGCCCCCTCCCCTGCCCTCAGAGCATGGCTCAGCTCTCCAGCCTGCCTGGCAGCAGCTGGGCTCACGCTGGTTCTCCTCCCAGGCTGTGCAGTATGACAACCACTACACCAATACCAAGTACTGCTTGTGCCAGATGCTGCGAGAACAACTGGAGTCGCCCCAGGGAAGGTTGCTGCACGCCGCCCAGTCTCACCGGGAGATCTGGTGAGAGGGGCAGCAGGTTGTCCTTCGGTCCTTGCAGACAGGCCGAGGTTTGACCCTGAACTCGAAGCTGACTGCCACAGCAGCAGGGACGCACCTTCTCTGAGTGGATGCTTAGGAATGGGTGGTGGTACTTTCAGAGCTTTGGAACTTTCCATTCTTGGGTTGCTCTCAGCAGCAGAGTTTAGGAAACTAGGGCACCAGTAGGAAGAAGGAATGCACGGGCTGGGCTTGGGGATTCCTGGGGAGGAAGGGACTTTCCCAGTAGCAAACCTGTCCCTTAGTGCCATATCAGACCTAGTGGTCAGGGGAGTTGGCGTTATAGAATGGAGCCCGGACCTGGTCCTGTACCGCACATATCACTGCAGTCAGAGGCCACCCCGTGGGCTTTTAGATCTGGCATAGTTCCAACTCACGCAGTTGACATTTGGGGCCCTTCACGACCTGGCTTTGTGCCTGCTCCCTCAGCTTCCTATCTGCTTGGCTTCCCCGGCTCCACACCTATGCTCGAACTGGATCTTCCCAAGTGCTCTTTCCTCATCATGTCTGTCTATACCCTCCCTCCAAAGATGCCTTTCTCAACCACTACCACCTCGTCTTTGTGAATGTCCTTCAGCCTTGGTCATCCTTTCCCCAAGGGAAAAGCCTGACTAGAACCTTCCTCCCCTTCTGGCCTTGTGTCTCTCCCCCACATAACTTGCCAGCTTGACCCAGTTTTTAGGAACTCAAGAGAAAGAGTAGAACTGGCTCTGGCTGCGACCAGAGCCTAACTGCCTGTTCAGGGGAGGCCTAACTGCTTGTGGTTGGGGCGGGAAGTGGGAAGAGTCTCAGTGGTCAGGCCTCCGTCTGTCTTTTCCCCCCAGGGGCCCACACGAGGATGAGGCTCTGCTTACTCCAGGCACTTGATCACCTAGGTCAAGTTGCGCTCTCCTGGCTGGGGACACCTCCCTGTGTGCTTCTCCTTGGAAGAGACTGGGCTTAGCTGGTAGAGGTGACCTTTAGAGCCTTTCTTCCCAGCTTAGCCTGCCTTCCAGTGTCCACCCTCAGGGGCTATTATTCATGTTTTATCTGCCAATCCAGATGATCTGGGTGAGGGTAAGGTGTGGGTAGAAGGCGCCTTCTGATAGCTAGGTCCTCGGGAGGATTTGGTGTAAGTGGGGCGTGTGCTGGTGGCATTTCTCAGTGGTGGGGGCCTGGACACCTGCCCTAGCTCCTAGATGCTGGCTCTACTAAAGGACTTGCCTCTCTGCTTCTCCCTTCATAGCGAGGCTTTTGGACTTGGTGCCTTCTATGAGGAGACCACACAACAGCTGGATGCTCGGCGTGCTGAGTTCTTGGCCAAGACCCCAAAGGGGGAGCCAGCTGAAGATTCCTGTGGTGTCATTAAGATGGCTGTCAAGTTTGACCGGTAGGTCTCTAGTATAGCCTCAGTATGGCCCATGGCCAGTGCCCTTGGGTCTGACTGCACCAGCAAGCTAGCTGTTGTACATGATTAATGCCCCACTTAGGTATCACAAATCTTCTTGCTTTGGACACTTGTTTTAATTCTCAGCATCCGAAGAAAATATTTGAGAGGAAATAGTTCCTGAAAGTCCAGGCAGGGTCTGCATGTTGCCCCAAGGATAACTGAACTCTGCCTTTTTCTTTGACCCACCCCCACCCACAACTTGGGGTGCAGGGACTTGTCTCCTGGTCCTGAAAACTCTGCACTTCTTTTCTGGCCCTGTGGAGCTCCCCAATATCAGCGGCACCCTACCCTAACCTAGCTGTGCGACCTGTGCCCACACCCACTGCCCCTCACCAGTCCTGTGGTTTCCTCTTTAGGCAGAAGTAGCTGCAGGTCAATTATTGCCTCAGACAGTGACTCAGCTCTGTGTGAGGCCCTCATCCTCATCTTCTGCCATTGGGGATCTGAGCCTTTCTCAGGTTCTCAGGCCTGAACCAGGAGCTGGTCGTGTTCTGTGGCTTGGGAGTAGGGGGCACAGCTTTTGGGCAGTCATGCTGGGAGCACTCCTGGCAGGGTGCTGGAGCATGGCCTATCCACGCTCCTGTCACCGACTGACTCCGAAGCTGGAGTCCGCTGTGATCGAGGCAGCAGCAGGTCCCAGCACTATGGGAGCCTCATTGTGGTGGGCACTAAGCTGGATCCCTAAGACCCCCCTGTGGGGTCTCTGCATCCCTACCTGGCCCATGAGTTCCTGATCCTGACCTGACAGTCACTGGATCTTCCCTTTTGATGGTTCAAAGCTGTGTTTCAGGCTGGAATTCTGAGTGCTGGGTTTCCTTAACACCCTCAAGCATGTTGAGGCTCATTTTCCCTTGAAGTAGAACCCAGGCCCAAGCCACTGGTGGGGCAGGAATAGGAGGCCAGGAGAATAGGTTGGGGAGCTTTCAGGCAGCCCCCTGAGAGCTCAGTTCCTGCACCCTCTCTCAGGATTTGAATAGAGCCCCTGCTGAGGGCTGGAGTGGTGGGTGCACTGACTCCTTCCCCGCATTTCCCCAGGAGAGCTTACTCACCTCAGGTCACCCCCAAGATGTGCCTGCTGGAGTGGTGCCGGAGGGAGAAGCTGGCACAACCCGTGTATGAAACGGTGAGTTCCTGGCTGTGGCCTGCGTGCGGCCAGCCTGCAGCGCTCTTACCACCAGCGCCACCACCCCAAGCGCCACTGCTCGTGCCCTGAACTCGGATGCTTTGCCCTCTGTGGGTGTGCAGAGGTTGTAGCTGTTGGTAGCCCTTCCCGTGGCCGCGGGCCTGTTGTCTCACTCTGGCCAGTTTCATATAACTGAACTGGGCACTGCGGCTCAGGGGCTGCTAGGTGGAGATTTCTCTGGAAAGAGCCAGTTGGCTTAGGAAGGATGCTCACATTTAAAAGTCCAACAGACAGACACTTAAAAGGTAACCAAGTCTCAGGTGAGAAAATGATAGTAATAACGAACAGCTATATACCAGAGACATTTTATGGGGGTGCAATGGGGAGTGGGATCAAAAACAGTGGGGGGAGGGAAATGCACTGGACTATGGTGATGGCACATGGGTGATTTGGTAATGGGAAGCCCACGGGGATTACAACTGAGATGAAAAAATACACAAAATGATGTAAAAATAAACTATTATGTTATTTAAGGAAAAAAAAAAGCTAACCAGGTCTTGGCCAGTGGGCCACTGGCCCAGCGCGGGGCCCCATTCATGGGATTCTGGGAGGGAACCCAGACAGTCTTCCCTCACCACCTTGGCGGCCATGGCTGCACCTTGCTTAGGTCGCTCTTTCTCTTCTGACCTCCAGTTTTTCCTTTCTAGTGTCCTCCCTGCCAGAGTGACTTTCCTAAAACTAAGCTGAACTCTGTATAGCTCCCTGTTGAAATCCTTGTCAGCTCCCCAGTGCT